TACAGTCAAATTGATTCAAAGTTTTCTATCTAAGGAAAACCAGTTGTTTGCATCGACTCATTGACTTGAATGCAATCCCTCACGCTAAGCAAGTTTTATAGCGACAGTGGAGAGAAAAAAAACTCCCTTTGAACAGGAAGAAACCTCCAGCGGAACCAGGCTCAGTGTGAGTGAGCCGACTGGGGTTCAAGGAGACAGAAGCAGAGATACAAAAAGAAACTGTAAAAGGCGGCCCCGTCCAGGAAACACACAGCCAGGCAGACGAGCTTCGATCAAGCTACCATGTCAGAGGATGAAGAGAGCACATCCAGCCAGTCACAGTCAGAGAAACTTGACTACACTGAAAAAACAGGCCTATTTTGAACATCTACAAACAAAGGGGTTAATGGAAGCAGCACATCTGATATTTCTCTCCAGGATGGTGTCACAGCCAAACAGGAACAGATGAGGCGAAGCTACTATGAGAAAAAGCCGAGAGAGCATAACGTTAGAGATTGAACTAACATATTCTGCAGGGTGGGAGAATAGAGATAGAATGAAGCAGAATGATAAAATAGGAGTCCCTATGTCCTCCAGAAGTCTAAGCCTATAGCAGCATAACTATAGAGATAGCTCAAGATAACCTGAGCCACTCTAACCACAAGCTTTATCAAAAAGGAAAGTTTTAAGCCTAACCTTAAAAATAATTTAACTCTAGGGTGCGCTCACAGTGCTAGTCCAGTCCAAGGGATGGTTACTGAGAAAATTCACACCTGCAGTGGGCCGGATTTGCTATCACACAGACATTTTTAGGGCAGGCCAAAACACGTTTCAGAGACTGTGTCTTCAAAAAAGATCAATTTAGGGCAGCCAAAATGGAAATGCATGCCCTTTTGTCTTAATGTTGCTCTTTCCTGCAAAAGACGTTGACCTTATTCTGAAAGAGAACCACAAAAACTTACAGCACCCCATTTCGCAGACAGTTAGATGAGTCATAACCTTGTATTTTATTTACATTACTCTTTAAAATCATGTTTAAAATTAAGTTTAATCGATTTTATGGTTAAAAAAAAAAGAAAAGAAAGTTGAATAGAACAAAATAAGATATTTTCTTCTAGTGAGGGTATGCGCAAGATTTTCATGCATGTGTGTTTATGTGGACCTAGCATTAGCGATGTTAGTGGGCTGCCATAGTTTGTTTATCACCCAGTCTATCAGTCAAAAGGTAAAATGTTACACAAGCAGCAAAAAATTCCCAAATGCACTTCGGGTGATACTCTGATTGTTGGAATTTCCTCTATTGGTGGAAAAGAGGAGGGCATAGTGGTTGCGAGTCTTTAGGTACTTTGAAAGGCTTTTTTTGCCCAAAAAAACAAACTGATTTGAACTGGGGCCCAACACCCAAAAAAAAAAACGTTTCGACATGAAAGTCAGATTTCCAGGTAAGGACTTTAAGAGCTAAAGAATAAGACTGATTAAATAAAAGCACTGACTGGAGAGAGTTTATGGTGGTTTTGGTCTAGTCAGAGAACTTCCTATGCTTGCAATGAGCGATATGTTTATAAATATACATTATCTGTGTCTTCATCTTATTTGAAAAAACTAAGTGAAGTGGGGTTTGACATTTTCCAATAACACAATTCAGGTCACAGAATTTTTTTTTTTTTTTTTATCAGCATGACTTTTCAAATCAGGGTTATTCCTTCAAAAATCATACAAAGAAAAAAAAACATCCCACCTCCTCCGTCATATAAACAGCTAATCTGCAAGAACTACGCAGACTACTGAGGTTTCTGTGGAAAGTGATAATGTAAATGAGTCACAGTTTGCATGCAACTCAACGTACAGAAAAACACATTAAACATGTCCGTAGACACTTGCAGAGACAGTGACAATTAGACTAATCTAAGATCTCTCGTTAAACATCCAGGAAAGTTAAAACTAAAGCTGTGAGGTGAAACACACGGTACTGTAACTTTAACATGCTAATCTATTTCTTTGCTTCAACTGACTGCATAAACCTTTTAGGCTGTTGCTTATGTATGTTTCCCTAGAATACAGTGAGCTCATAATTGCTTTTTTGGAGTAATGTCTCAGAATATTCTATACTATTCTTTTTTTTTTCTTTTGTGATAGGAAAAAAAGGCAAACAAAGAATGAAGGGTTTTAAATGATTTGTAGTATAACTTTTAGCTCCAGTTAATACTGCAAGTTCACTTGGATGCATCTGTACTAGCTTTGAGTATCTAGAACATGTGTTTTTCCATCAGTCAGTAGAAAATTGCGTTGGATTGAGCTAATTTGCTTATTTTTTGGTAGATAAAGCAACGTGGAAACCTTGTTTTACCATTTCCTTGTCTAACATAGAAGATATTACTGGATCAGTGCTTCTGTGTTCTTTAAATATCTCTGCCTTTGTCTTTTCATACCTCTAGTTAGCCATGGCGGAATCCAGTCTTATCCATTTTTGCTCCAAGCATGCTTGGTAAAAGGGATTGTTGCAGTCAATGACACATGGCAAGGGGCTTTCTACTGTTGCTACGTGCTAATCAAAGTGGAATAAATTCTTTAGTCAATGACTGGATTTTCTAAGATAGAAAATGTATATCTAATCTGCCTGTTTGATTTGATTGAATTGTCTCTGTAAACTGATTTTGAATTGGTGCTTTGTCATTACACTGAACTAAATAAAAATATCTATTTATTTTTCTGGGCAAAGCTTAAGAAGCACATATAATATGCTCCTTGTAAACATACAGCCCTATATTAAGTGTTAAAATTTGGAATCAGTGTCCTGCTGTTTTACTTAAGCATATGATATATATGATTCTCCTCTTGTGTTTATTTCTTGTGTTTATTTTTTCTATAGTAATTACTTTAGTAGTTACTTTCATGCCTTCAGTTGTAGAGGCCAAAAATATTTAGTGTACTTTAAATATAATGCAAAGAAAACAGACACATATATAAGGCATGTATAATCAACTATGAAAATAAGTTTACCCTTCACAGCACACCGCTAAATATTTCTTGCTTCCTGTTAGTAGAGGAATTTATAGTTTTAGGTGTCACCATTTGTTTGAAGTAACAGCCTTATAACATTTGTACAACCAGTTATTCCCCATTATCTGCAACAAGAAATCAGCATTTCTTGTTTCCAAAAATATAAAGAATACTACAGTGTTTCAATGTTTTTAAGTCAGGCTGGAATGAAGACATAAAAAACCTGTTTCGATGTTTTTAAGTCAGGCTGGAATGAAGACATAAAAAACCTGGTTGACGACACTTTTTAGAACACTTTAGGCAGCCAGAGGGTAAAAACACAAATCTACAGATGTACGTGATTCCAGGAAAAACGTGCATGGTTTAAGTTTGCACGCATGTGCCCAATTGTGCTGCATCAGAGTAAAAGTGAAATCATTGAAACCACTTCCTGCATTAAACACACATTACCCATAACGTATTTAAAATTCAAGCAACAGCATGCAAGTTGCTGCTGTTTGCATTTCTATTGCTGTTTAGAAATGCATCTTTTTTAAATTTCTCATTTGTCATTGCATACAGCAGTTAGGGATACAGAGTTGAAAATATACTGTCTCTGTAAAAAAAACATTTCCATGTACATATTACATTTCAACAATGCAAGTTAATACCAATATTAGAAAGATAAAACTGATAAAGTGTTGATTTCTTCCATTGTATGTGTTACCTGGGTTGTTACAGCGATTAAGTGAGAATTTAATCTCAATAGCCCAATTAAAATAGATTTACTGAGAACAAAATGAAAAGATGCCTCCAATCCCTAAATAAAAACATATTGGGTTTCTGTACAGTTACAAAGAAACTATGGATTTTGTTTAAGTTATTTAATTCCAAATATTTAGTGAACATTTCAATGTTACCAGCTAACAGCATTAAACATACAAAGTAAAAACACCGTAATTCCTTATCTTACCTTTCTCTAAAACAGTTCAAATGGCCTATTAAAAAAAAATATTAGCGCTACCTTTCAACATAAGGTGCAAAAGGTGGGGGGACTCCAGTAAAAAATAAAATAAAATAAAAATGGAGAATAACACTATAATCCAAACAACAAAAGCTGTTTATGGTGAGTAAAGCACAAGTCATACATCAAGCATATATTCATTCCTTCTGCGTTCACTAATGCAGCAATTGAACATGTCTTGATGGCCTTAATTAATAAACAATAAAAAGAAATAAAAAATAAAAACCTTGGTTACATTTAAAATCATCACAAACTGAGGTGTCAAATATACATCATTCAATACAAATGCTGTCATCTAAGACAATGATCAGAAGATTTATAGTTTGGTTTGGTCTGACCAGCTGGATAAGAAAGATACGTTGTTTTTTTTAGATTACTGGATGCACCATGAGACAAATCCACTTAATAACAGATCTCTCTATTAAAAGATGTTGATGAAGGGAGAAGACAGAAATGCAGCTACTTTCGTCAACAGTGATGTGTTTAAAAAAGGTCTGACCAGAAAATAGAAACCAGCCAAAAAATGTGACTATATCTCTAAAGCCAATCTAACATCAGGTCAGTTATCACCACAGATACCACCATGAGTATGTTTTGTTGGTGCTTCAATAACAATAAAAGGTGCTGTAAAATTTACGTCCTAACCAACTTATTAGGAAAAAAACAATTATTTATGGTCACCATAGCTACATGAAAGTATTCAGTAGCTGAATGAGTAATTGTTTTTTCCTTTTTAGTTTTTTTTTTTCTTAGCCCTTCTTTAAAAATGGGAAAAAACAAAAGAAAATTTCATTTCAGAATGGCTAATCATGTCAAAAGTTTAAAATGACTTAAATAAGCAATCAATGCTTTGCATCAGATGCAGCCAGCTGGATTTTAAAGGCTAATGCTAATAGTTGAAAAACACCATCACAGTCATCTTAAAACTGGTGACTCAATAAATCTACATTTTTTAAGAGCTTTGAACACATCTTTACCAGGGAAGCGATTAATTTTAGAGTTTTCTCAATTTTTTTGCGGCGCATTTTAAGATTGACAGTTCAGATCCTTTCCTCTGTCCTCGTTTTTCCATTTGGAAATCCACTGCGTCTAAATAACGAGGAAGATCAAACAAATAAAATGTTTTAAAATTGTTTTAGTAATTCATTTCCCACAGTGATTAATAATGATATATCAAATCCTATCTACCTTCTGCTTGGCTGTTAAGCTCTTCATGTGCTTAGATTCAGTAAACAGAGCCTGAAGGTTTCTACTGGATCGCCCAGTATAATGAAAACATTTCTAATACCCACAATTATACTCATATGCTTTAAATTAGTGTAAACCGTATACAAAAAAAGAAAGAACATATGTAAAAGGGTGGATTTATTCCTGCTGATTGCTTTATGTACACATGGGTCAGTTGCAGCTTACAAAAAAAAAAAAAAATGGAGGTTTGCAAAGAAAAGTTCTTCAGTTGATGATTCATTGGGACAAATATAGATAAACATTCAGCATTTTTTTTAGCCACCTTTATCCCTCCTAGGTAAACTTAAAACGATGCAGATGCATGTGCAATACAGCATGCTTTTAGTAACAGGTCTGACAAACTGGAAAGCTCAGACACATCTTCATGTTAAGGCCGGATTAGTAGAGCAACCCAATATTTCTGCCCCACTGCACCATGTTTGGACAGGATTAAGAGTAATACGGCAGCATCAGATAGCAGTTTCCACCCAAACCCCTCACCTCTTGACAAGTCTTTGAAGAGCAGATTGGCTTGGATTTTGCTTTGGTTGGCTCTGCTTTTGCAGAATTAAAACATATCATCTGGAATCCATTGCTGCATGGGGGGAGGGGGCTTTCTAGTTCTTGAAAGCCCCATAGCGGCTCGCTTTGCTAATGAAGTTCTTGAGCAGGTCATGATCCATGTCCGCAAAGGCCTGGGTCTGAGTAACAGCTGTTAGATGGTTGACACAAAACTTGAAGCAGAACTCCTCCAGGTCCTAAAAACGAAGAGGGCTATGAGGTGAGTGCTGAGGGGCATAAGTGACTAGAGGCTACTGTGCAGGACCCCCCTGCCAAGCCACTGCAGTGATCTTACCCGAGCCTCATATTTGACCGCGGCAGAAAGCAGAGTGATGGCGTTCTCTTCAGAAATGCCCCTCTTGATTGTTTCCTGACACAATCGTTTGAGCCTTGTCTCTCTGTAAAAGGTGGCCAGGTCAAGTAAACCTGAGACAGAAGGTAAAAATTTTTTTTTCAAATTTATAGCATTAAAAGATAACCTAAACCACAGATAAAACAGCCAAACACCATGTACATGAGGTTGGAAAAAAACAAACAAGCAGATTCACACTTTTTTTTTTCGCCGAAGAGAAATCTGGAAAGTGTGGCACTCATTTATTTTTCACCCCCTCCTTACGTTACCATGCCCCCTTTATTTAGATATACTGAGAAACACCTAAATACAATTTAGCATTCACTTTAGAAGTTACTTATTCAATAAATAATGTCTATTTTCTTTTGTTTTATTCTAATTATTTTATTTCAATTCATCTGATGTAATATTCTAATCTTTACTCCTTAGCTATTAGTGGACCAGACCTATTAATGAGAATAAAGGTTTAAATACATCCGTCTGTGGGTAAATTATCTATATTAGATCTGTCAATTAGTTAAATGAGTTAATGTATTCAAATTATTCCTTAACTATGCCTTTATATTCCCCCCAATAAGATGTTGATAGTAGCTTCCTGCAGTGAGATGCTGTTGTTCAGCAGAAACAGCGAGGCTGGTCACAGGAAATAGGAAGATGGGTGGAGCCAAGCATGAGCCTATAAAAGGCTTCAGACTGGGTGAGGGTTCACCTCCAGTAAAAAAAAAAAAAAAAAACACCCCAGAAATGCACACTAAAGAATACAGTAGGATGACTTGGATCAAGGCATCCTCATTAGTTGGAATGGTCTAGTCAAAGCTCAGAGCTAAATCTAATCACATAACAAGCCTAAAGACAGCTGGTCACCGATGCTGCCTGTTGAATCTAAGTTAACTTAAACTGCCTTTATCAGGTAGAATGGGTAAACCTCTCAGTTTGCAGATGGGCATATCTTTTAAACATGACCTGAAACAGATGAATATGTGTACTTTTTACTCAGGGGGCTAAAAACAAATCCACGCCTCATAATATAAACTATGTATCCAGTTCAAATGTGTGCAACCTCGAGTTGGTCTATTTAAAAAAAAAAAAAAGACAGCTTTAAAAAACCAAATAGCTAAAGATTACATTCTGTCAAGAGATTTTGTCAAGTTTGTAAGGTCTTACAAATTTATTTTAGAGCTAAATTAAAATTATTTAATTTATAATTTTGCTTTTAGCTGGAATAAAATGCACCAAAGCTTCTTTTGAAACATAAACATTTAAACTTTAGATAAAAACACTTAAAAACAGTGTTTTTAAAGTAGATGTGATTATACACGTTTATATTTTAACAAACGTTAATAAAGCACATGTGGAGCACCTGTAATAAATAAAGAATATAAGTTAAGCTTATGCTTACCAACAGCATCCTCTGGTGGCAGGTTGATATTGTCTGTGTAGAGATACTCCAGGAAGGCTCTGTACACTAAATAGGAGAACTGGTGAATTTCTATAACATCTTCATCTGTTTCATTCAACAAAGCACGGAAATGCTCACACCTAGAGAGAGGGGGGGAAAGGAGCAGACTATTATTATGAGCAGACTAAAAGTAACAGACCAGTAACTGAACTTTTGCTTTCTTATCTTTTGCAAATTACATAAACACAAGTGCTGTTCACGAGTCAATGCTCAGTCCGCTTATTCACAAGACTCCAGTGGGGCTCAAGATCAAACCAATTCTAACTTCACAAGACTAAATACAAAGGGATCACGGCGGGGGTGCGGGGCATTCAGAGGCCTTAAGGACAGCTAGATGTCCAAAAACATTTTTTAAAAGAGACGACGGTACATGAGGAGGAGTGCTGTTAGGACACAAGGAGATGAGATGAACTTAATGAGGCAGAATGATAACAAAAAGAATCTAAATAAAATAAGGAACCCTACAGAGATGAATCTACAAAGCTCCAGTGTCTCTGGGTCATCACTTCCTAGTTTTACCATAACAGAAGCAGCTGGATCATTTCTGTACTGTTCCAGGATAAATAATACGCTTAGATTCAGCCAATGCAGCAAATATGATTAGATAGAGGACTGTCAAAACATCCTTCAGTGGAAATGCAAACTGAAATGCAAATTCTTAGAGCTATTACTGGGTCTAACTATCTACCAAAAAATATAAATAAAAATAAATAGATTTGTCCATCCATTTCTAAAACTCAACATGCTGCTAAAATAGCGCTAGCAAGCAAATAACACCTCTCTGCAGTGACACAATGACATAATGCATTATGAACACTGTTGGGAGGGGGCTATCATGCACTTAAATAAATTAGATGTGAGGCTGTAAACATTGCTTTTTCATATGTGCAAAGGTAAAAAAAAAAAAAAAAGTCTGCTAAAAGTTGTGGCAATTTTATCAGAGGAGAAGAAATCATACAAAGGCGATTCTGCCGCTGTGGTACGGAACACATCAGGAAGAAGTGGCAAGAAAGAACAGTGCAAGGCAATAGAGACGGCAAACACATCTCTATATGTTGGAAACAAATTAACAGGATGTACAATTTTGTCTTTTCCATTATGATGAAACTATAATCTAGCACTATACCACTAAAGACACAATATTATTTTAGAGCCTGATGCATTCTTAACATCATAACTCTTATCTTCACACTTCAAACAGCCTTAGGACTGTATGTTTCCAGCAACAGCTCTTCATCCTTGTGTGATTCATCATTTTTATATCCGTGAGTAATGCCACGGTTGGGTCAGGACCCAGAATTTTCTTGTTTTATGATAACAAAAACAAGAAAATCATTGTTTTCTGCATTTTTATGTCTCCTGCATCAGTTGTGTTTACATCTGAAGGGAAGAAAACTTCAATCCTACATAAAATTGCACAGAAATCTCTCCCATCCATCGCACCTGTGATTTTTTTAAGTGAATTCCTTATTTAAAAAATAAACTTAAGCAGCATGTCTGAAAAGTCGCAAAATCTGCTGGAGGCTGCACTACTGCAGAAACTGTCTTCTGAGATTTAAAGGGTAAAGAAGTGCAGCTGACTGCAGTCAATTATCCAATTTCTAGATGCATCTTTCCAAAAACAAACAAAAAAAACCCACAGTAAATTAGAAATTTTAACTGATGCATTAAAGCAACTGATGCAAGCAACTTGCTTTTGTGCTACTTAGATTTTTCTTTTAATCATTTCTCCTGTTGTTGCTTACTGATTTTAATCCTTTAATCACCTCACTTTGTAAAACATTTATTTTAAAGCTGATATTTTTTTTTTTTTTTTGGTCCAAGATAATCAATGATATTTAATGAATTTATAAATGATTAAATTATTCAACAAGCATTTATTTTTTTACGGATCATTGATTTGATGAAACAACATCAACATTATTATGGAACTAAGACTCCTCTTGTATAGGACTACATATGCTTAAGGAAGACTGGAGGACCAATATTCCAGCTGTGAGAACAATGAGAACATGAGCAGCTTATCTTCTAAAGAACCTTCCTTGTTTTGCTATAAGATGTTAGAAATCTCCATGTCTGAGATGAAGGCTATATTGAGCTGTGGTCTGCTCGGGGAGCAGCACCGGTGTCAATAATGCTCCACATAAACCTGGAAGAATCATGAGACGCAGCCTGGAGACGTCTGTGCCAGGAAGGGATGTGACATTACCAAACAAACAATCCGTCACATCTGCTCCGTGACGCACTGCAGGGACGGCAGAGCCCGGTCCAACGTCTCTGCCGTCATAAAAGAGCCTTCAGGAAATGATTCCTACAATTCACAGCAACGGCTCGCTCCGTGTGCAGCAGGTGAACACATCCTTTCCATCCCTCTCTTCTTCTAGCTCTCCCTCAAATTTAGTTATAGAAAATATCGTTACTATGCCGTCAATTCCACATAGATTGTAAAGTTGTCTTTACAAAGGTCTAAAAAAAAAAAATCTATAGAAAAATGATCTAATTTTTTTAACATCAATGATGAAGAGCATGCAATATCTGTGGAAGAACAAAAACATAAAACTCAAAAGGCAAAGGGTGCATGAAGAGCGAAATATTTCAGCTCACTCAATCTTTGTTGTGTTACTTTGAAGACTTTTTTGTCTCTTATACAACCCCCCCCTTCACTGCCATGCTCAACTAGCCAGAAACACAGCTGCTGTCATCATCTCCCAGGGCGACAGCAGAGGAGTCAAGAAACTCTTTTCCCTCTAAAGTATCTTTAAAGTGTTATTTGCATGAGATATGGTCAAAGTGGAGGTTTTGAAGAGCAGGCATCATTTGTGTGAGCATGTACACTTTGTTGACTGTGCAGACTGTCCGGCTCCTTCCTCCTGACAGTGCAAAAGAGCAAGAGATTGGAATGCACACACTGTGTGGTTATAAAAAGAAACATGGGAAACAATAGGCTGCTCTCTGCCTCCCTGTAAGGGACAGGGCACACTGTCCGGCATATTCCATTTAAATATAGGACTTCATGCCAAGCTTGTTTTTGTAGAATGTGTTCTAGGTTTGTTCTTTTGTTTTGTTTTTACTGTTGCTGATATTATTAGATGTCATTACTTAAAAGCTCAGGGACATCCAGAGCATTTTTCCTCCTCTCCATATAACAACCCTTCTGTGCCATGGTGAGATGTTTCATGATACGCATTCAAACAGAAAACATCTGAACCCTTAAGTGACCGAATTGAATGTCTTGATGGATAACAAAAGGGAAATCATTTTCTCTAAAGATGTGAGCAGAAAGTGGAGAAGCATAATATTAGAGACACAAAGACCAGAGAAACTGTTTTAGTTTTCAGGGCATTTTTCACCTAAAGGAAAATCTTGCGGATTTTATTAAAGCAAGAAAAGATAATAAGATAAAAAACAGACTAATTGAAATCACAAAATAACAGATTTTCCAAACAGACATAAAACCCTTTCATTTCCAGGCAAGAATAGAATAACAGATTATAATGATCCTTTAATGTCCCACAGTGGGAAATTTAGGTGTTTTCAGCAGCAAAGAACTACAAAGTCCAGCCGAGCTCTAACCTGGCAGTAGCAGGATTGATATGTGTAGAAGTGAGGTGAGTTCTACATAATCAATCTGGGATGGCTGCCATTCAGTGTGTCCATGAAAAGGAGGGGCATTTAGTACAATACTGCGAGCTGATTCGCTGATGTTCCAGCTAGGACCCGCCTTCCATAATACACTTTCAGCCGATTGTAGCAGCGAATTGTTTCCCATCTACAAATACAAAGTGCTTCTCTTTGCTCCTTTTTTTAAGCGAAAAATTGTCGCTATTTTAGCTAAAACTGAGGCCATTGTGGTCGACATGCGAGTCCTCCAGCATAGCCATGTTTGTAATGCCCCATCAAGGCCTTTTTAAAGATGGATTTGTTGTAAGACTGACACTCAGATCTCATGACAATCCAGCGCTATGTTATCCAAACTCAACCCAAATATAAATATTATATTTAAAGAAAAATTGCTTAAACTGGGGCTAAGGGGAGCAATTTTAACCCTGTAAAGCCTAAAGCACAAGCTAGAGCTGTCATTGAAAATCCTAACAAATGTCTCATTTCTGATGCATTAGGCTTTTCCGGCAATTTTATCCTACACTTTCTTTTAACTCCATGTGTCTGATTGCGTGATTAAGTAAAGTTTTGCAAGAACAGAAATATTGCTGATAATGTAGAAGTCTCAAAAAACCCATCTGTCAAATATAAAGGGTTTAATTTACTCTGAATTTGTTTTCATTTATGTATGTATTTATTAATTTATTTTATTCAGTGGTATTAGTGCTGCCTTCTTAGCGTCTAACAATGGCTATTGCAGTTTAAGTTCCAGATTAGTTTAAACAGTCATCACAATCCTTCATTCAGGCATAAAAAAAAGAAATCAGTCAGACACACTCCCATGTATGGAGACATCCTCTCTTCTACTGCCTTGGCAACACCAACTTCAGGGATCGCTGAGTCCTTGAACGATTCGTCTCGAACTGTTAAGGTTCTATTGCATTTGGGAGGGGTTATCCTCCATCTCAAAAGATCTATCCATCTTGTAACTACCAGCGCCCCTCTGCTCACTCTTCAAGCTTCAATAAGTCAAATTAAGTTAGCTGCCTGTTTCTCTCATCCTGACCCCCACTACTAGCTTTTCCCCCCAGGGTCCTTTCCTCACTGCCTACTTTGGTGGGATTATTCCATTTTATCTGGGAGTGGGGTTACGCTTTTACGTTTGGGAAAGTTTTTCAGTTTAAAAAAAAAAACAACTAATCACACAACTGTTTGGTTTTCCTACCTGATCTTCAGGAGAGCTTTGTGAACATAGATGCACTTCCCATCAACTAAGAACTTGAGGTCAGAAATCTCTGGACTGTCAAACTCCTTCTTCAAAGACTGAGCAACTGTCAGGTAGTCGTCTCCATCTGGCAAAACAAAAAAAGAAAACAAAAATACAAAACAAGATCTCTCTTCAAATGTGCTTCTTTTTTTAAAGCAACATGTAGTAAAGCTTTGAACATTTCATATACCAAATACTATCTTCCTCAATGGGAGTGGGTTAGTTTGCAAAGGTAAAAAGATTTATAGATTGACATGAAACACTGATTAACCTGAGATGTGTTTTGTTGTGAATACTGTGGTCAAATTAAAGTTTGCAATTATCTAAAACTTTAAATATAAGACTATTCTTCTACAAAATAAAAATTATTTTAATGGGTGACTGCTGCAGATATGAGGCTTTGTTAGTAATCCAACTGATTTAAAATAAGGGGGTATCACTTGCTTTAAAAACAAAGTAAAGTGGAAGTGTGGCCGTAGAAACTAAAAAGTGGCGTTTATGTCAACTCCTGTTTGAAACAGAAAGGAAACAGGATTTCCTGTTTATTTCTCGAGCCACTTCCAGGAATTTGTACTTTTGACACAAAAACATCTGCCTCCTAAACGAGTATCTCTATCTGGTCAAAGGTTAAAGATGACTATGGCAACAATTTTAAGTATTTAACAAAAATCCCTGAATTATTAAGGAGTACTGGTCTCCTGAGACCCTTCTTCTAAAAGGTCGAGAGGGGAAATATCGCAATGAGAAAAATGTTAAATATTCAACTAAATCCCTAAATAATTTAAAATTGTAGACATCTGGGAGCCTGTTATTTTTTCTTTTTTGTATCTTTCTATTTCTTTTGCAATCTTACCCACTGAAAGAAGGTGCCACGTGACAGCCGGTGTGGCAAAGCAGGCGAACACGTCATCGGCGCTGCTAAAGTGGGTAAGGTGAGGGCTGGACACGGCCTGACCCCGACACTGACCCCACATCAGAACCTGCCCGCTCTGCGTCTTGGCGGCTGACGTGTGGCTGGTGTGACATGCAGCCACCTCCACCATCCTGGGGAGAAAATCTGAAGTCAAACCTTGAAGCTTGTAACAGGAGGAGAACAGATCCTCCTCAACACATCCCCATTCTTGAAAACTTAACCACTAAACCGTGCACATGTATTTAATAAACCTTCAGCTTGTTTCTTAATTTATCACATTATAGGCAGTGAACACAGAGTATTTTCTTAGGATTTGATGTGATAGACCATGACAAAGTGGGGGATAACAGTGAAAAAGAAGTAAACATAGGAGTGAATTTGCACCAGGGGCGGATCTAGAAAAATATTTATGGGGTGGCGAGAGGGGGGCAGGAATTTTTGAGGGGTGGCA